AACTCAAAATGACCTAACCTAAGCCTAAACCTACTACACAACTAGTTGGACACCCAATCAAAAGAAGTTTGAGACAAAATAAGCATTAAAGTTCCAGCACCATATGTGCACTTGGCCACTCTCAAATCATCCATATATCTACAAAAAAACAACCACCAAAACAAAAATAACTACTAGCGATAACAATGACTTCTGACCGCATTAACAGTGACTAGTACTATTATCACAGTGCAATAACATCATTTCAACACAAATAAACTCAGATTCAACTGAAAAAGGATACATCAATTAATATAAAAACCGAATCGAAAAAACAAAGTATATCGTGTATAGCGAGTTTGATTTCTTGTTAAATTCCTGAACAAAGTAAAACAAAACCTAATTGAAGATGAAGTCCACATATTGCAACATTATATAACATGTTAAATAATGCAAGCAGCTATGGAGTCTTGTGAAAGCCAAACAACATAACCTACACCCTTGAATTATGCAGGGCTAGTCAATTGTGAGAGACAACCAGACAGGTAAATCAACTTTGGCATAAACAAAGGAGTAAATTCCCAAGACAGTTGCAGCAGTATAAAATGTGGAAATTATTCTTGCCAATAATTGCAAGAAGATAGAATATTTTCGCAAACCAATGATGTTTACCTCTACAAAGTGTTCCAATTCATATGTATTTCCATTGCTTTCCTAGTTCTCAATGTTTCAGCAAAACTGAAGGCAAAGTTTCATTATGCTGTCCAGTATCCTTGATAAAGAGCCAATGTCCAAGAAAGATTGTGAAATTAAAGCTGATAAATACCTGTAGGAAATTTTAGAATTCCATGAGCATAGCAATAGAAAATAAGGACAAAGCACATACAGGGAATAGCTGAAAATATGTAAGAGCAACAGTAACAAGCTCTTCAACAAATTAATTAAATGAACAGAAAAAATTCGATGCACAACCATGATTTGGTTACGTGCTTGGCAGAAATACAAAGGCAACACGAACCTCTAAAAGATTGAACAAATTCCACAAAAATTCATAGTTGACTAAACATTAATTGCCTTGTAATATTAAAAAAGGAAACCACATATCCTATCAAGTGTGGGCAAGGTGTCGAAAAGACCTTTTGATTCCCTAGTGAATTATTGGCCATCAATTTATATGGAGCTCTTCTGCTCCAAGCTATCATCACAATCAGCAATCAAGGATCTCTAGCTACAAAAATAAATAGAACTGTGGAACGATAAGCCTAAAAACAAAAACTCAACAAGTTTGAGTAGCTCTCAAATGGCTTTCCCCTACCTACAGAGCAGCATCTTGCATAGAATTTTACCTCAAAGAAGGAGTTGAAGTCGAGACGCATTAGAAAACGCCTAACGCTTCCACGAGACTAGACCTCGTTGACGGTGATGTTACGGCCGTCGAGGTTTTGGCCGTTCATGCCTTCAATCGAATCCTTCATGGCATTCTCGTTGTTGAAGGTGACGAAGCCGAAGCCCCTGGACCTCCCGTCTCACGGTCGTTCATGATCTGAAAACACAAAAAGAAACCAAATCGAATCAGATCCGTCCATCAAAACCAAAACGCCGGAGTATAATCAAACAAATACACAATCATAAACAAAAATGAAAAGGAATCGATCGATCTTCAATCTTTGGGAGAGAAAGATCAAGTAACATAGAGAAACAAAGATCAAGTAGCAAAGAGAGAACATGCATCAAACAGACCTTCGATTCGGTGGCCCAGGCGAGCCCTCCAACGAAGCTTAGAATGATGAGGTTGAACAAAAATTGAGGTGGAAGAACAAAAACGGAAATTTGGGGTTGAAGATGAAGATGAGTGACCAAAACTCGTGAAATGAGTTTCTGCTCTGGCTTCAACACGAGATAAAGGATTTGAATTCCAATTTTATGATAAAAGGGTAATAAAGATATTTCATCTTATTAATTAAATTAAAAAATATACGATTGTTGATTTTTGGGTTTATTTTGGGTATGTTTATATATAATGAATGGTATAGGGTATATTTATAGTTTTATGTCTAGGAATGGGTATTTCACTAAATTTCTATAAATTAAAATACTTGTGTTGATGTATAAATCTGAATCAAATATAATTAGGTTAATTTTTGTCATCTCTATCTGCAGTTTACACAGTTTCTGTGGCTCTTATCGCAGTGGGGGCTCTCATCATCTACCATGCCTATAGCTCCAACAAAACAGAGAAAACAAATCAGTTGAGAATTGAAAGATTTTTGGAAGATTACGTAGCTCAGAAGCCAAGCAGATATTCCTATGCTGATATTAAGAGGATAACAAATCAATTCAAGGACAAGTTGGGGCAAGGAGCCTATGGAACAGTTTTTAAAGGGAAGCTTTCCTCTGAATTACTTGTTGCTGTGAAAATCCTCAACAATTCAAATGAAAATAATGGAGAAGATTTTACAAATGAAATAGGAACAATGGGTCGAGTGTACCATGTCAATGTGGTTCGCTTGGTTGGCTTTTGTGCTGATGGGTTTATACGAGCTCTTGTGTATCACTACAAGAAAACAGGCCTTCTGTGACCAAATTTTACATGGCGCTGAAAATTCCGTCATATTTGACTTGTATAAGTGAGGAAATTTTGAAAGTCGTCACCTAAACGTCTTGAAGAGATGTAACAAAATTTTCGCTCCATGTTCGTCACGTTATAATTTTGGTGTCGTCACAAATTAAATAGCGGGAAATCTTGGCGCCCAATTTTTTTACTAAATGTGACGAATAATGCACATTCGTCACAGACCATGAAAGTGAGGCCCGAAAATTTTATTGGGTGAAGATTGGCAGCGTCACTTATGGCCCAAAAGAAAAAGAAAGAAAAGCTAAAGCTTCAGTCACTTGCTCATAAAAAAAAAAA